GGCTCCCGGGGGGCCAGCGAGGCTGCACCGAGTGCTCGTCCGGAGGCCAGCGCACGCCGGGTGTGCGTGCACGCGCGGCTGTGAGCGCCCCTGGGACCTGTGCTGCGTGTGTGTGTGTGTGTGTGTGTGTGTGTGTGTGTGTGTGTGTGTACCCGCACAGCCTCCACCCGCCTGCGTCGAGGGTGCATGCTGGATGAGGCCCCTTGGGGCGCGGGGAGATGCGCGGTCCCTGGCAGGATGTAGCTGGCACAGGTAGAGTGTGCGAATGTGTGTGCCAACATGTGTTCCTGCATGTACAGTTTGCATTGCGGTGTAGGCAAGGACTGCCTGTACGCGTGTCGCTTGCGCTGCATGTATGTGCACAAAGTGTGTGTACTTTGTGCTGTGCATGTGTAAGGCGGGGGGTAGTTTGCATCGTGTGGGTGTAGTGTGGTGTAGCGTGCACTGTGCATGTGTAAATGGGACGTAGCTTGCCTTGTCTGTGTGTGAATGGGGGGTAGTTTGCACCGCATGTGAGTGGGGTGTAGTCTGCACTGTGCATGTGCCACTGGGGACAGCGTGTGTGTAGTCAGCCCTGTGCGCGTGTCAGTTGGGGCAGGGCATGTGCATCATCTCGGTGGTGAATGTGTAGACAGGGACAGCCTATGCGCCTGTACGACTTACAACGGCTGCGGAGGGGGACGGTGCGGGTGCGTGACACACGGACGTCTGCAGTGTGCCTGGCTTCCCCAGGCCCGTGGCGACGAGTGTGTGGATGGCACGGGGTGTGTGTGCAGGTAGGATGTATGCGGTGGGGTGTTGTGTGTCAGTGCTGTGCTGTGCCTTGGCAGTGGGTTGCCCTGAAGGTGTGTGGGTACAGCTGAGCGCACTGGCTGTTGGCGTATATGGGCACAGGACTGCTCTGCAAAGGGAGTGTGTGTCACACCAGGCTACACCTGGAGCAGGTTTGCTCTCACAGCAGGTTACCACCCGGGAGGAGCCGGATGCCCATGCCGTGGGGTGTCCACTTGCCTGGTGTGCTCCCAAAAGGCTGTGGGACACGTGCATGGTGAAGGACATGTCCCACAGGCGGGGTGTGCTGGTGGCAACAGTCGCACCATGCAGGAACAGCAAGGTGCAGGGAACAACCGTGGCAGAGGGGCTACACACATTACAGGGTGCCAGACACAACCACAGTGGGCTACACCCAGGAGCAGGGCCAGGTTTGCCTGTGCCCCCTGTTGCAAGGGGCTGTGCACAGCCAGCAGGCATATGGTGCAACATGTGTGCTGTCGGGCATACCAAGCCAGGAGTGGGGAGAATGAGAGGGTGTGAGGAGGGCTGTGAGGTTTGGAGGACTCCCTTCAGGGGGTACACCGTGTGCATGCAATGGAGCTCCAGGAGAGTAATTATAGGAGACACTGTACACGGCGTGCACAGCCTGTAGGGGATGCTCTGTATGTGTGTGTATACACAGTGGGGTGTATTCTACAGGGGATCAGCATGTGTGTGTGCACGCCGTGGGGTGTGCTCTGGGCACAGTGTGCGTGCACGCCATGGGGTGTGCGCTATAGGGGATGACGTGTTTGCGTGCGAGTGCAGCGGGGTGTATTCTGTAGGGGGTGCGGCGTGTGCACGCCATAGGGCTGGATTCACGTGGGAAGCTGTGTGTTTGCACGTGCGTACAGCGGTGTGTACGCTACAGGGGGTGCAGCGCGTGTGCCTGCAGCAGGCTGTGCTCCAAGGGGCGTCGTGTGTGTGTGCGTGTGTGTGTGCGTGTGTGTGTCTGCGCACAGTGGGGATGCAGTGTGTGAAGCATAGGAAGGGCCATGCTGTGTGTGTGTGTGTGCAGCGGCTGTTGTAAACGGGTGTGTGTGTATCCTATCTGAAATTGGTACCTGGGGAGCCCTGGGAGACAGGCACCTGGGGCACCTGGAGGCACCCGAGGCCGGGTTGGCGCAGTCTGTGTGTGCCCTGACACCCACCATGAGCCTACACACGCTGTCTGCCCAGCCAGGCCCTGCCACCCAGCTTCAAACTTCCCCTTCAAGCCTGGCCATCTTGTCCAGCTGAGCTACTGCCCACCCACCAGCAGCCAGCCAGTCTGTCCACCCACCCATCCCTCCACCCATCTGTCCATTCGTCCAGCCATTCATCCACCCACCTATCTATCCACCCATCACTCCATCTGTCCTTCCACCCACCCACCTATCTACCCACCCATTGCTCCATCCTTCCACCCACCCACCTATCTACCCACCCATTGCTCCATCTGTCCTTCCACCCACCCACCTATCTACCCACCCATTGCTCCATCTGTCCTTCCACCCACCCACCTATCTACCCACCCATTGCTCCATCCTTCCACCCACCCCCCACCTGCCCATTCCTCCAGCCATTCATCCACCCACCTATCTACCCACCCATTGCTCCATCTGTCCTTCCACCCACCCACCTATCTACCCACCCATTGCTCCATCCTTCCACCCACCCACCTATCTACCCACCCATTGCTCCATCTGTCCTTCCACCCACCCACCTATCTACCCACCCATTGCTCCATCTGTCCTTCCACCCACCCACCCATCCACCCACCTGTTGGTCAATCTGTCCAATCATCCACCCACCCATCAGTCTGTCCATCCATCCACCCATCTGTCCATCCACCCACCTATCCACCCACCCATCTCCTGCCTGCATATCCATCCACCCATCTGTCCACCCATCTGTCCATCCACCCACCTATCCACCCACCTATCCATCTGTCTACCTACCCACCCACCCTCCTGCTTATCTATCCACCTACCTGTCTGTCCATCTACCCACCCGCTTGCCTGTCTATCCATCTGTCCATCTATCCACCAACCTATAGATCTGATTTTTTATCTGTCCATCCACCTCTCCATGTATCTATTGACCCATCCATGCACTCACTCACCTGTCCATCCATCTGCCCATCTATCCATCCATCTGTTTATCCCTCCATCCACCCACACATCCTCCCACCTGCACAGCCGCCCTCCCATTTCTCCATCTGTTCACCTAACTCTGTCCCTGACCCTTTATCTACCCACCCACCCTTGCCATGCTCCCTGTCCCGCCGTGTGTACCCTCTGCCCCACGGGCACCCTCAGGAGACCCTGGCCCTGCCCGACACTGGCTCTGTGGCCACACCAGTGCCACGTGCTCAGAGGTGTCCAAACCAGGCAGGACAGCCCTGGGGAGGATGAGGTGCTCCTTGACGGGGCAGGGACATGTCCTCGATGGGGCTGGATCATGGGTGCTGTCAGCTCTGTTGCAGGGCACAGCGGAGTGGAACATCCTTGCCATCTGCCAGCATGGAGGGAAAGGGACGGAGCCTGCCCCACGATGCGGTAAGGGGAGCAAAGGCACGTGCATTCGCGCGTGTGCATGCGTGAGGGTGCGTGCCTGAGCGTGGGGATGCGTGTGTCGAAGGTGCCCCCGCATGTGTGCAAGTGCTCATGAGTGGGTGCCTGCTGAAGCATGCGTGTGCGTGTGTGTGCGTGTGTGTGCGTGTGTGTGTGTGTGTGTATGTGTGTGTGTGTGTGTGTGTGTGTGTGTGTACACCTCTTTGTGGGTATTTGCTGCCTGTCCACATGGTGAGACGTGTGCTGTGGGCGCCAGTGACCTTGCTGGGCAGAGATGACGGCTGCGCCTCTCCTCCTGGTGTGGGCAAAGGCAGGCAGGAGCTGGGCAAAGTGCCCGAGCAAAGTCAGACAAGCTCAGCTAGAGTGGGGGCACCCGGATGCCAGGGCCCCTCCCTGGCCCAAGGTGCCCCCTGAGCGCGGTGCCGTTGCTGCCCTTGCAGATGCTGCTGCTGCTGCTGGGGCTGGTGCTGAGCGTGGAGCCCGGCCAGGCGGCCGTGCACGTTAACCTCACCGAAGGTAGGTGGGACCCGCCGCCCTGCCCATGCCCGGGGGGCCGCACGTACAAACTCTGCACACCTGCATGAGCAAGCGTGGAAAGACACCTTGCACGTGTGCCCTGATGCACACACCCATGTACACGTGTCCATGCACACGCGCGCTTGCACCCCTCTCCACCTGCCTTGCTCGAACCCCGAAGCCTCCCAGCCCACCCACCCGACCACCCAGCATCCGCTGTGAC